ATCAACTCACGTGACGCGGGACAACAAATAAAAAGAATCAAAGCAAGAAAAGAAAGAAGCTTTAGAGAAAGAAAGAAGCTAAGAAGAAGAGGAGGAGAGAGGTTGGAGATATGCAAATCTGCATTTTTTCATTAATCATCAAAAGTCCTTAACACTTAGAAAAGTAGGGTATTTATACTAAAACCCTAACTTGAATAAGCAATTGGGCTTATGGCCCATTAAATAAAATATCCAACATTAATTAAATCAAGCCCAACAAATAAAACCAAAGTAATAAAACTCAACTGAAAGTCCATATAAATTAAACCCAAAACACAAGTTAAAGCCCAATTTCCCAATGGTTTGGACTATCCTCCATCGTCTATGATCATACGCGTGCATAAATAATATTTCTGGTTCGGTGTCCCCATCAATTCTCCCGGGGTTGGAAGAACTCGACCCCGTCGAGTATAGGTTAAGGCAGCTCCAATAATGCTCTCAATGACAAGGATCAAGTTGTTGTGATGCTCCTCTGATAATCCAAGTATAGTCTGAATCTGGTCGTCGAATTCATATACTGGGATTTGCTGAAGTTCACCATCCCTGGTAAAAACAACTTGTGCATTCAAAGTAGCATTAATATGTTCCTTTTGTGCCAAAGATATGGATAATGAGGTAGGGGTATCAAAAGGAGAATCAGGGATGGGTTGTATTTTATAAATACTGAGGTCTTTCATGTTCAAAGTAGAGCTAATATCAAAGTTTAATGGCAATTTAATGACATAATTATTTGATGTAATCATTTGCAACACCTTGAATGGTCTAGCACTACTTACTTGCAATTTATGATCGGTTTCCAAAGGACACCGTTCAGGTCTAATCTGTATCATGAAATAATCTCCAACATTAAGTGCATCATGATATTTAAGAAAATCAGCTCGAAATTTGTATTGTTCATTACTTGCTTGAATTTGTTTCATGATCTCAATATGCAAATTATGAACTCTACCTTGTAAAGACTCAGCTAACTTAGACATCCTATCATGAGGAGATATGGGAAGGTGTTCTATCGGCTCCTCAAGTTTGTAACTATGAACACTAAATGATTGAGGGTGTGGAATGAGACAAACATTGTTTGAAATTTGTGTAGATATGGTATGGACACAATCAAGTAAACTAGGATTATCTTCATCTTCCTCATAACGTGCATATGGTAGGGGGTTAAGAAGCTCAACATGTTGCTCTAAACTTATGATGTGCTGGACACCAAGCATGTGGGGTGAGGAATCAGATAATTCAGGAGGACTAATATCATGAGACTCTTCTAAGACCATACTTATCTCTATAGGTGATTCCACTGAAGAGTTTCTTAAAATTTCCTCCACCATTAAAGCAGACATATCAGATTCTTCCTTAACCTCAACCTCAAGCTCATGTGGGCTCATTGTGTTAAGTTCCTCTTCTTGCACATCCTCGTCATCTAGGTCACTAAAATCCTCAAGATTAGGCTCATACACTTCAACACTACAATATTCTTCTTTACCTAGATCTTTATGTTTTTGGACGACTAAGGGTTTCGAGGTGCAATCTAAAGAGATATGACCAAAACCTAAACAATTAATACACTTAACCTTTGAACTCACCTTGGACACTTCATTGACAACTTGTTTGCCTCTATCTTTCTTACAAAGTTGGGCGCTATTAGGATTAGGTCTGTGGGGTGGAGCACCTAACAAAGAATCACTACTTCTGAATTGGGACCTAGTAGGGATACTATAAGAGTCTTGATGATTATTCCACTGATTCTTTGTGACCAACTTGTAGTCTTTAACTAAGGTATAAGCTTGGTTAAGGGTAGACACACCTTGAAATACAACTTCTCTTCTAAGATCATCATTTAAGCCTTTACAAAATCTACGCAAAATCATGGCTTCATTCTCTCTTATGGCACATCTAATCATGTAATCGTTAAACTGCGTTATATACTCATTGATAGACTTGTTCCCTTGTCTTAGATTGTTCCATTGGTCTAAGAGTTTACTCCTATAAGACTGGGGTAGGTACTTTTCCTGAAGTTTTTGTTTCATTTTGATCCAATCAGTTATAGGAGGTTTACCTCTCATCTCTAAACAATCCTCAACATCTCTCCAATAAATTTTGGCTTTATCAATGAGTTTCATCTTAGCAAATCTAACTCTCTTATTATCAAACAAATTATGCCACTCAAAGAATTGATCCATATCACGAATCCACATATCAAATATCCAAGGGTCATGACGACCATCAAAAGTGGGGGCTTCTATTTTGTTAGGACTCAAGACTCGCTCATCAAAGTCATCGTGTTTAGAGTAACCTAAATGATGGTCATATTGGTGTCGCTCAAAGTGATCTTGTCCATAATTATTATTCTTGTGATATTTATCGATCTTTGAGTGCCTTATTCGAAAACTCTCTTGGGGCTCAATTCTTCTAAACATGTTGTTGATCACCTAAGTTTGCAGTTCCCTTAAAATGATCATAAGAGTATCACTAAAGGTTGAGTCTACAGTAGGTGTAAACTTAAGCTTAGACACTAGTTGATCGTGACACAAATGCATGCAATACTAACTTATAAAAGGAATTGAGATCATAAATGGTTCTTGCATGTAAAATCACAATACAAAAATAAAGCTAATTTTTTTTTTTTTTTTTAATGTGGAGATTAATCAAAACAAATTACACTAATAAAATTGTAAGCATGTAATACTAGATTCTTAAGTGTAAATGATTAATCAAACACGATGTCACAAGTAAGAACTCGTAATTATTAAATAGAATAAGATATTAGCTATTACTGATGAAAGAAGTTGATGAACAAAAATTAACAATTAAAATGCTAGGTGAGATTTTTTTTTTTTTTTTATGATTTTTTTTGAGATTTTTTTCTAGGCACAAAAGTAATATTAATAATAACCTTGAATGACAAGTGAAAAACCAAGAAAAGTAAACTTCAACAAATAGGGGAGAGTGATTCACTGACTAGAGTGCTGGGAGGAGGCTGAAATCTGCTGGAGCTGACGTGGCCAACTGGATGTGCGTATGATGTGGCAGTCAACGCTGATGTGGAAGTCAACGCTGGTGAGGCAGGTGACGTGGCAGTCAACACTGGCGAGGCAGGTGACGTGGCAGTCAACACTGGCGAGGCAGGTGACATGGCGGTCAACATTGACGTGGCAGTCAAAGCTGGCGAGGCAGGTGACGTGGCAGTCAACACTAACGTGGCATGTGACGTGTCTAGGTTAATTAAAATCCAGTGTTTGTTTCTTTCTTCCTTGGCTGCTGCGATTTGTTGCCGCTGGCTTCTGTGACCTGTTGTCTCTGTTGTCGGCGGCGGCGCACGAAGCTTGCTGGTTCTGATGGGTCTGGCGGTGCAAGGGAAGAGGCGGTGGTGTCTGTGGTGGTTGCTGTTGTTGGTTTGGAACCGAAGACAAGGAACTGTTGTGGGTGCGGCGCTGCTGGTTGTTGAAGGCAGTGAATCGGCGTGTCCTTTTGATCGTTGGCTGTGACCGGCGCTGATGTTGAATGGCCAATCGCTTTGTGGGATTGATGTGTAGGTATACCGATGGTTGCGACTGATGGTTTGGAACCGAAGACAAGGGCGGCGCTGTGGGTTGTTGTGGGTGGTTTTGTGTTGTCGAGGCCGGAGATCCACTGATGTCTCCTGCGGTGTCAGTCTGGTGGTTGCCGTTGGTCTGTGTCGGAGGTAGCAACTCGGCGTGGATCGGTGGACTGATGTGCAGGTCTTCTCGGTGGTGGGTCTGGCGCTGTGACGGGTGGAGGCGCCGCTGATGGCAGGGGTGCCTCTGTGACTGGCTGAGACGTCGCAGATGGCAGGGGCACCGCTGCTGGAAACCCGGTTACAGTCGCGGATGAACAGTAACTTTTTTTTTTTTTTAATTTCAGATTAGTTATAACACATAGATCGATTAATTGTAAGAACAATTAAAAGCCATGCTCTGATACCAAATTTGACGCGGGACAACAAATAAAAAGAATCAAAGCAAGAAAAGAAAGAAGCTTTAGAGAAAGAAAGAAGCTAAGAAGAAGAGGAGGAGAGAGGTTGGAGATATGCAAATCTGCATTTTTTCATTAATCATCAAAAGTCCTTAACACTTAGAAAAGTAGGGTATTTATACTAAAACCCTAACTTGAATAAGCAATTGGGCTTATGGCCCATTAAATAAAATATCCAACATTAATTAAATCAAGCCCAACAAATAAAACCAAAGTAATAAAACTCAACTGAAAGTCCATATAAATTAAACCCAAAACACAAGTTAAAGCCCAATTTCCCAATGGTTTGGACTATCCTCCATCGTCTATGATCATACGCGTGCATAAATAATATTTCTGGTTCGGTGTCCCCATCATCACGGGTGCGATCATATCAGCACTAATGCACCGGATCCCATCAGAACTCCGTAGTTAAACGTGCTTGGGCGAGAGTAGTACTAGGATGGGTGACCTCCTGGGAAGTCCTTGTGTTGCACCCCACCTGTTTCCCAAGCGGCCCCCTTCTTCCCCGTGCTGCACGCCCGTTTCCTGTATCCTTTTCTTTTATCCTTCTCCCGCCCCCTTTTTCTTTCCCGGGAGGTTTCCCCGCCTGCTGAGGATCGGGGAACGCGGTTTCCCTCGGGAGGAGCGAGGGAAGGCTCACCAAGCTCAGGGCCACGTGGCGAGGAATGCAAGATCTAAAGATCCGGCGGTCGGCGTAGCGATTCCACAACTACTATAAGCAAAACGGCCTCCGGAAGCTGTTGTAAAAATCTGGTCGCGATCCAACGGCCGGATCGCAGCTTATTGCCCTTTTGGGCTGCCGTTCTGGTCCGGCCCGAACCGGCACGCTACGGGGCCCAGTCACGCTTCCCCGAGCAACCTCCCCTCTTGCGGCGAAGCTTGAGCCGCGTGGCAGCCTCCCGCGGCTCTCCCCGCGGGCGCCCTCGAAGCGCTTATAGCAATTGCTCGTGCATCAATTCACGGGTGCGATCATTTCAGCGCTAATGCACCAAATCCCATCAAAACTCCGCAGTCAAATGTTCTTGGGTGAGAGTAATACTAGGATGGGTGACCTCCTGTGAAGTCCTTGTGTTGCACCCCACCTTTTTGCCCGTTTCCCGAGCGGCCCCCTTCTTCCCCGCGCTGCACGCCCGTTTCCCGTATCCTCTTCGTTTATCCTTCTTCCGCCCCCTTTTCCTTTACTGGGAGGCTTCCCCGCCTGCCGAGGATCAGGGAACGTGGTTTCTCTCGGGAGGAGTGAGGGAAGGCGCACCAAGCTCAGGGCCCTGGGGTGAGGACTGCAAGATCTAAAGATCCGGCGGTCGGCGTAGCGATTCCATCGCTACTATAATGAAAACGGCCTCCGGAAGCTGCTGTAAAAATCTGGGCACGATCCAACGGCCGAATCGCCGCTTATGGCCCTTTTGGGCTGTCGTTCTGGCACGACCCGAATCGGCAAGCTGCGGGGCCCGGTCGCGCTTCCCTGAGCCGCCTCCCCTGGTGCGACGGAGCTTGATCCGCGTGGCAGCCTCCTGTGGCTCTCCCTGCGGGCGCCCTTGAAGCGCTTATAAAAATTGTGTGTGTATTGACTCATGGGTGCGATCATACCAACACTAATGCACCGGATCCCATCAGAACTCCGCAGTTAAACATGTTTGGGCGAGAGTAGTACTAGGATGGGTGACCCCCTGGGAAGTCCTCGTGTGGCACCCCACCCTTTTGCCCGTTTCTCGAGCGGCCCCCTTCTTCCCCGCGCTGCACGCCCGTTTCCTGTATCCTCTTCGTGTATCCTTCTCCCGCCTCCTTTTCCCTTACTGGGAGGCTTCCCCGCCTGCCGAGGATCGGGAAACGCAATTTCCTTTGAGAGGAGCGAGGGAAGGCGCAGCAAGCTCAGGGCCCCGGGGCGAGGACTGCAAGATCTAAAGATTCGGCGGTCGGCGTAGCGATTCCATCGTTACTATAATGAAAACGGCCTCCGAAAGCTGCTGTAAAAATCTGGACGCGATCCAACGACCGGATCGCAGCTTATGGCCCTTTTAGGCTGCCGTTCTGGCCCGGCCCGAACCGGCACGCTGCGGGGCTCGGTCGTGCTTCCCGGAGCCGCCTCCCCTGGTGCGGCGGAGCTTGAGCCGCGTGGCAGCCTCCCATGGCTCTCCCTGCAGGTGCCCTCTAAGCGCTTATAGCAATTGTGTGTGTATTGACTCACGGGTGTGATCATATTAAAACTAATGCACCGAATCTTGGGCGAGAGTAGTACTAGGATGGGTGACCTTCTGGGAAGTTCTTGTGTTGCACCCCACTTTTTTATCCTCTTCTTTTATCCTTCTCCCTCCCCCTTTTCTTTTACTAGGAGGCTTCCCCGCCTGCCGAGGATCGGGGAACGCGGTTTCCATCGGGAGGAGCGAGGGAAGGAGCACCAAGCTTAGGGCCCCGGGGCGAGGACTGCAAGATCTAAAGATCCGGCGGTTGGCGTAGCGATTCCATTGCTACTATAAGGAAAACGGCCTTCGGAAGCTGCTGTAAAAATCTGGGCGCGATCCAACTGAAAATAAATCTTAACAAACTTGATAAACTCATTTTCAATCCTAAAACACTATCTAATCAATCTAAAAATCAAAAATCAAATCAAATAATAAAAACCTTTTTAGAACCTGATTTGTCTTTTCTGATATGGTTGAAGAGCAAAAACACTTCTATCGAACTTCTCTTCAAGACAAAGCAACTAATAATAAAATTATTTTTTTAATTGTTGCAATGTGACCTACATAAATGTTTCTCTCTCTTCTTATTTTTTCAACAACTTTCTCTCTCCTCTCTCAACATCTAAGCACCTGAACATAAGAGAAATGATGTTTTAGGACTAAAATATACACACCTAAAACTATATGGACAAAAAATGCAAAAAAAAATTTAAGAATTAAATTGAATTGCTATGAAAATTTGAAGGATTAAAATGAAAATTTCACAATATTTGGGGGCTTAATTGTGAAGGAAATGAGGTTTTATGAACAAAAACTAAACATTTAAAATTATAGGGCCAAAAATATAGTAAACTTTAGGGATTAAATTGAACTTGTTTAAAACTTTAAGCACCTAAAACTACATGGAAAAAAGGGGAAAAAATGAAAAATTTAGGGATTAAATTGAATTTCTATGAAAATTTCAAGGACCAAAATGAAAATTTCATAATATTTAGGGGTTTTAAATGTGAAGGAAATTAAGTTTTATGAGCAAAACATAAACATTTAAGATTATAGAGCCAAAAATATAAAAATTGAAAGCTTTAAGCACTAAATTGATCTTCCTCTAAACTTTAAGGACCAAATTGAACTTCTTACAACTTTCAAAAGCTAAAACACACACATATATAAAATGAATACTAGAAGAACTAGAACATAACTTTTCAACGTGTAGTAAAACACCCACTTTTTAAGTTTATTAGGTAATGAGGGGCAGCTTATAACATCGACTTGTGTTTATATTTTTTTAATTAATATTGGTATTCAGGTTAACTTATATATATCTCGATTAATTTCACAGATTCGAAAGTTAACGATCATATAAGTTTCTAGTAGCCATTATATAAATAAAAAATGCAACAACTTGTGTTTTAACAAAACTTGTTGTTTCATATTTTTACCAAAATTAGGAATGAATAACTCTTCTTTTATTACACTTTCACAATCATTTTCTTAAATATGGAATTATATATCTGTGTTGATTTAGTTAGCATTTTTTTATATAAATATTTGATAATTTTGTTTACATAGGTAATTAATTATAATAATTATTTTTTCTTAACTTTCGTTTCAATTAAATAATTCAAAAAAATAAATTTAAAAAGAATAATTAGTATGCATACAAAGTCTCTTGATTTAACTTCATATTTTAAAAAAATAATAATACTCCCAATGCGGCAACCCCTTGTGAGCAGACGACGCTTTTCTGACACAATCGCTGCTAAAATCTCTGCTTGTTTGGTTAGTGGGACTCCCATGGAAATCAGCGTCTCCACCGATTTCTCACGAGGAAAAGTATCCTCAGCGTCTCCACGGATTTCTCACGAGGAAAAGTATCCTCATTAGACGAACAAGGAGCTTCAACAGTTCTACTTGAGACCATGTTTCGGAACTCTGGTAGATGCATCTTGTAATTCGAATTCGACCCGACACCAGGCGCTAGCATGCAACGGCGGCGGAGAACATTCTGAAGATTGAACTTGAACTTCTATTGCTGATGGCTCGTTATTACCGTCGCAAAACCCAAACCTCGTTTTCTGAGAAGACAGAAAAACGATCCGTTTGCGAATTCGCAGCAGTTCATAACCTTTCCTGAATTCCCCTCTCGCGCAGGATTTGTAGCGAGTAGGAGCGGACATGATGATGATCATAGCTAGCTGTATGGTTAGCCTAAAAATATATAATTCTGTTTGGAATTGAGTCTTCAAAGCCATGGTTTGACACCAAATCTTATAATATATTTGGTACTGTGGTTATAGTTTGAAAAAAATTATTTTATAAAAATTATTTTTAGTTGAGGTTGATTTGAAAAAAATAAGTGTTTGGTTAAAACTGTGATTGAAAAAAAAGTAGTTTAATGTCTTTGGTTAAAAATGCTTTTGAAATTGAGATTATAAAATAATATATATATATATATATTAATATTGATAGTTTTAAATTTAAATATTGTAAAATTAATTACTCCTATTACATCATGAAATAAATAATACTTTATATAAAATATTTTTTATTATTCCATTAAACTATTTATAATTCCATTACGTATAAAATTCATCCGATAAGAACTACAGTTTTCATAATTTTTTAAGCGTGTAATAAAATTAGATAAAATATTATCAGATATAAAATTGATATTACTGTGCGAGTGAATTTAATTCACTCTATACTAGTTTTTCAAGAAAAAAATATTGTTCACATCGCGAATGAATTTAATTCTCTAAATTAGTTTTTTTTTTTTTAAAAAGAATTAATACAGATAGTGCAAGTGAATTTCACGTGAACAATGCAATTCACTTGTGAACAGTGTAGTGAATTGCATTGTTCGTTGTTTTTTAAAGTCTACCGTGCGTGAAAAGCAGGATTTCATAGCTTTTCATTTACAGTGTTTTGAACGTAAAAATTACATGGGTCCATGCACAATAAATTGATTTTTTTTTATTATTAAACGGCTGCGAACTATGTTTTAAATAAAACGCAATTATAGCCGCGTAGAGTATTAGCTTTTAAGAGTACTGATTTCTTAAAACCATGGTTTTAAAAGAGTTCTTAAACATCTACTTAACCTTATTTTTTCAACTCAACTAGGCACAGCATTTAGATTGGTAACGAACATAAGCTTTAACAATGCTAGAAACTAAGAACAGCCGGAGCAAAAGCTAACTTATCACACATTGATCATAATTCTAGATGGCAATGCTGTCAGTGCAACTCGGAACTGTCAAGTTCAAGACTGCCTACCATCTTTATTATTACATATACAGGAAGAAGTGCACTGCTTAGAACAACAGGAAGTCATCCTTGATTTCAGGTAACGCTCTGTTGTTTAACAAAATGCACTACCCTATCTTTTTTACAAAGAAAACTAATAGGAGTCATCCAGAAACAAGTTCTCGACAGATCCGAAGCTTTCCAGATTCCCAATCCTTGAGAAATTAGTCATGGATCCACCCAAAAAATCAAGAGGTGAGTCATTTGAGAAGGCAGTGGTGTCATAGATAAACGACAAGCCTGTGTTGTCAACCACAGGATAGTTCACATAAAAGGAGCTGAGTTTGCTAACTTCATAATCGTGAACAACAAAGTCGTTGACAGCATTTCTAGCTATATCAGTATATACATGTTGTTCCGAGGCCTTCTTAGCTTGGATGACCTGAGAAAACATCAAGAACATGTAGCTATTAGCATTCAAGAAGAGCTAAAATGCTTTCTAATCTTAATTTCACCATCATTCTAAAGGTTTAGAATAGCAGCATACATAGTTCTGACTTTGATTATCTTGGTATACCATGATGAAGTCTCCTAACTCTAATCCATGGGCGCTAACGAAGTCCCCTGCGAGAATTTGATACAAGATTGGTGATT